GTATCCCTAATTTTTAAGGATTATAAGAATATTAATACTAGGAACAGACTGTGTCTGAAATATGTCTTTTTTATTGGAAATAATTTAAATTAAAAAAAAAAAACTGTTAAATGTTTGGAAGATGAATACATTTTTATGTGACTATAGAATACTTGAAAATAATTGCTAAAAGAATTTTCTGTAAAGGTAGACGAGCCAGCCTTCGTAAGTTATGTTTAATCTAGAGTGTTAAGAGACTCTACCTGAATTTTGTTCATTCAGTCGGTAGTCCATTAAAAGAAACTTATAATCAAGTAATACGGGCAATCCACCCAATTAATTCACTTAAAACAGGCAATCCACCTTAATGCAAAGTCATGGTGCATTTTTACTTCATTTATTCTAAACAAAAAAAAAAAAAAAAAAAAAAAAAAAAAAAAGATACAATGTTGCCAAACCGTAAAACCTTAATCCTTTAGAAATGCATTTATACAATCGTTGAGTTGCTCGCGACATTTTCTCCCACCTTTTGATTTATGGTGGGCGGAACATAAATCAAAATACAATATACTTAATAACGAGACTAAACAATACATAGTATAATCATAAAAGGAAAAAAACTAATTAAAACGCGAAGGTTTTACAATAGTGCTAGTCACATCTAGTTTTAATTATCTTATCAGGAGGTTTACAGTTAATTTCTTTACTAGCAGGAATGTTAAATTGGTTTTTTTTAGGTAAAAACAAGTTCTCGTCGTCCATCACTTCCAAAGGATACAGTCGTTGCACAGGACGGATCAATTCACCTGCAGCTGTTTTCACCTTTGCCATTCTAACACAATTATCTTGACTCTGGAATAGTTCAATAACTCGACCCAATGTCCAGTCCAATCTTTTTTTTTTTTGTTGTCACTTCCCACAAGTGCCACATCTCCTAAATATATTTGTTTTCGAGTAGCTTTATTATGTCTGGACTGAATTAGGAGACTCAAAATATTCGTCTCTAAATCTTTTTCTTTCTGCTGATATCTATATCTCTTATTGATACTGACATCATCTATATGGTCTAAGTCCGGAACTCCCACCGTTCTTTTATCCTGAATGAACATAGAGGGTGTTAAAGGCATTAAATCGTCAGGATCTTCAGACAAATAATTTAACGGTCTTGCGTTGATTACAGCTTCCGTATCGCAGAGAATGGTACATAGCTCTTCATATCTCAAGCAGGCTCTTCCTAATACTCTTCTCAAAATTTTCTTAACCATCTGAATAATACACTCCCACCAACCCCCCGCCACGCAGCTGTGCGGGTATTGAACTTCCATGTAATCTTCAAAATAGAACATTCTTGCATAATTTTGCTCCAATCGAGTGAAAGAAAGAGGTTGTTCGTCCCAAAAAAGTTCGTACCTTTGTCACTATACATAGTTTTTGGTCGTCCACGTCTGGCTATGAACCTTTTGAAGCCCAACAAAAAATCTTCGGTGGAAAGTCCTTGCATCAGTTCAAGATGTATGGCATTATAAACAGCACAGGTGAATAAAAGTATCCAGCTTTTCTTTCCATCCTTTAGATGAATAGGTACAGATAAGTCTACTCCAGTTACTTCAAAAACCAGAGCGTCTCGGACCCCTATCTTCAGGCAGTGGGGCTGGAACTGTTTCGATTTTTTTTGCATTATATCTTTTGCTTCGAATGCATTTTGCGATTACCCTTTGAACTGTTTTGCGTCCTCTTAAAATCCAAAACCGTTGACGAATATCCGTCAAAACAATTTGAACTCCAGCGTGTGAAAATACTGTATGTCTTTCGAAAATTAACGTTTCTACAATTTGATGATCAGAAGGTAAAAGTATGGGACACACGAAATAATCTGTATCATCTCTTCGAAGGACTTTTGTCTCCAGTCTCATTAAGCCTTCTTTATCAGTGAACATTGCTTTGGACATATCTTGGAATTTTGATCTCTGTTAACAGATGTAAATCTTCAAGCCATTTATTGACTCCAGGCGAATATCTTCTGGACAGCTTTCATCCCAACCAATCTTCAGCTTCCAGCTATTCTGTATTAACAGTTTCAAATGAATCGTTACTGGACACAGAATTCCTATAGGATCGAAGATGCTGTGAACTGTTGAAAGAATATATCTTCTAGTAATGGTTTTTTTCTTGAAATCAATTTTTTCAAGATCACAAAACAGAACATCTTTAGTTTTATCCCATAATAATCCAAGAACAGGGACAAGTTTTTTTTTTGACATTCTTCACCTGTTAGACTGGAATGTTCCCAACCTCTTTAATCGAAACAACCCGCAGCTAGAATCTGTTTTGTTTCAAAAATGAATTTTTTAATTTCATCTTGACTAGTTACCGAAGTTATGCAGTTATCCACATAGAATGCATTCCTCAGATTTTCTACGGTTTCAGGAAAATGGCTTTCATTTTGTTCCAAATGGTAATCTAGAACGGCAGCTAGTAAGAAAGGGCTGCTCGTAAGTCCAATCACTACTCGTCGGTGACGATAAATTTTTTGTTTTTTTCTTATAATCTTCCCTCCATATGAATCTAAGAAATCTGGTCTTCTTTGGCCCACAGATATCTGTAAAAAGGCCTTTTTTATATCCGAAACTACACCAATTTCTTTCTGACGAAATCTCATAAGTAATGGAGGAATTTTTTCGATAAGATTTGGTCCAGTTTCTAGACAGTCGTTGAGAGTGTTGAAGTGATTCTTACTTCTACACGAAGCATCAAATACAGGGCGTACCTTCGTAGTAGAATTTCCTTTAAAAATACCTCTATGAGGCAAATAATGACAAGGATTTCCCAATTCACTATCTGGTACTTCTTACGATGATAGTTTCCTGTAACCATTCTTTAAATACAGCTTCATAGTCATTGTATTTTCCTTCTTTAAGAAGTTTCTGAGTAGTAGTTATGCATCTTTTTTTCAGTTATATCTTTGTTTTCACTTAACGTCTCGTACGTCCTCTAACCAAGGTAGTTTGACGATGTTTTGTAACGGCCATTTTCATCTCTCTGAACGGTTTTTCGAAAATGCTGAAGAATGGACTGTTCCGTTTCTTCTTTAGTTCTTGTTTCAGTAGGATCCTTTATACCTATAGTATCTAATTTCCACAAATCAGCCACAGAAGAATTTTTAATCAGTAAAGATGTCACTAAGTGGGATGAAGTTTGTCAAACCTTTCTTCGGACATGTTTCCCATGATAACTCATCCTAAATAAGTTTCACATTCAATCAAATTGGATTTCAATGTACATATTCTTCCTGCAAATATATTACCACAATAATCTGCACCTATTAACAGATCAATATCAGGACAACCTTCTCCATAGTCAGTGGGCCAAATTTTATTTTCTCTTAACTTTTCCTTATAAAGGTCTCTTCTCAACCGAGGAATGTTGCCACAAATGATCTGCTGATCCAAAACCTTTATGTTACAGGAAAGGTCCCCTTTCAAAGATATCAGGTTAACGTCATAAACATAATGCTCCCTTTTCTCAGTTGTAATTCTACCAAATAGAGAGTGAATTAAGATTCTCTTTTCTGTAGGCTTCAAACCTAGTTTCTTAGCTGTTTCTTTAAAAATGTAAGAATGTTGTGAGCCAGTGTCAATAAGTACACGTACTTGTAGCTCTTTCCCTTTAGTCTTCAGTTTCACTTGTAACGTTTGAAGCAATATTTCATCAGAAGTGCATAAGTTAGACGAACTAACATCAGACGACAACGTCTTCTCAAGTTCCTGTACGTCACCTTTCATCTTATTTCCAGGGAGTTCTGGGCACATCAAAATCGAATGTTTTTTACTGCAAAGGATAGATTTGATGTTGGACTTGCAAAATTTAGAACGATGTCCAATTTTTAAACAGACAAAAAGGCCTTTTTTTTTTCAATTTCTTGTTTTTCTTGAAGCTTGAGTTTAAGTGCAAAAAAGCAATCTTTACTTTCGTGCAATTTATCACAAAATATACAAAAATTTTTTCTTTTATTCTCTGTTGTTCCCGCAAACAAATCTGCTGCCGTCGGTGGATTACTAGGAACAGAACGCTGTATTTTTTCCTTCTGAAATTTGTGTTCCTTACTAACAAATCCCTTTGCTAAATGAATATGTTCTTCCCCTTCAACTTCAGCTTTCAGGAACAATAATAAATTTTTTAATTTCTTCCCATAAGCATTTTCTTCAGAAGAATCGAATTTGGTGTTAACTATAGGGTTTCTTAACCAAACTCTAAAAATGTCTTCCGGAATACACGATTCTATAAAAGGGAAAAGTATAGCTGAATATGTATCCGATGTTAAGCCTATGGACTCCAAGGCCCTTAGATGTGATTCTAATTTATCATATAATTTTGAGGTGTGTAACTTTCTTTTTTCTTCGGTAAAAATTTTTACAACAAGATTTAAAAGTTCGCGTATATAAAATTCAATTAGTAATTCCTTCCTGCCGAATCTTGATTTTAAACATGCAATAGCTTTATCATAATTTTCACATGTCGGTGGGTAACTATCAACAATATCGCGAGCTCTAGAGCCTTCAGTCATACATTGAATTAAATATTGAAATTTATCTTCTTTCGCAATATTTTCATCGTCATGTATTCTTTTGAATTGGCTCCAAAAGGCAAGCCAATCTTTAATTTCCCCGTCAAATTTCAAAAGTTCGATCTTCGGTAACTTCAACTTTCGTTTTTGAACGGGCGAAGAATTAACAGAACTTTCGGTTTTAGAAATTTTATTTAAATACATTTCTAGGATTACTTCCGCTTTTACGAAATTTTCATTATATTCTTGTATTATCGCGTACTCGTTCTGATACTTTTTATCGTCTGTATCTTCTAATAATAAAGAGCTTATTTCCTGATCTATTTCAGTTAGCTGACAATAAATTCTACGTAAGTTAGCAAAGTTAGATCTAATGCTCTCTTCTTTAACATTATCTGCCTTTAATGAGTGATTCAAACCGTTAAAACATTTTGTGAAGTTAGCTCTTATAGGAGAGCGTTTTTTAAGAAATAATTCCATTTTCAGAATAATAGGTAATTCAAAATAACGTACCTTTAATACCACGTCATACGGTCACCATGTTACGAGACTCTACCTGAATTTTGTTCATTCAGTCGGTACTCCATTAAAAGGAACTTATAATCAAGTAATACGGGCAATCCACCTTAATGCAAAGTCATGGTGCATTTTTACTTCATTTATTCTAAACATAAAAAAAAAAAAAAAAAAAAAAAGATACAAGGTTGCGAAACCGTAAAAACTTAACCCTTTAAGAAATGGCTTTTATACAATCGTTGAGTTGCATTTAATAAATGGTTTTTAAGTTTGAAACCTTGAATTTAATTTTTGCAAGAATCTACTGTACCGTCCCGTAGTTAATTCCTTCGTGAATTTACGAACTGTACGAAATAAGAATCTAGGTTAGGATAGTTTTGGTGCTGAAAACATGGTAACTGAAACTGAAACTGAAATTTGGGTAACTGAAATTTCATTTTGTATTTTGGTGCCTATAAAATTATTAAGTTTTTTTTATTTTAATTGCTACTTAGAATATCAAGTTAAAGTGGAATGTTGAATTTGTATCTTTGAATACTGGGGATTGATGTAGCATGTGTTGATTCTTCTTCTGTGATGTGACAGCAAACCCGAATCTGCCAATTCAGTCAGATTCGTCAAAATCAAAAGAAATATAACAAGTGCAGATTGTAAGATAAAAGGTACGTTTCACTTACTTCCAATTCTGAAGAACCAGTTGATCCATCAGACGTTTGATCGATACTATATTCGAGTGCTTAAATATTTTACGATAAAAAACTAATATAAGCAGTACAATATAATACGACAAATTTCAAACTACGCTATCAAATGGCGATTACGTTTCCGTTTTCCAAGGCTATGAGAATTTCTCTTTACCCAAACCCAATCTTTTTGTAAACAAGTATTTTCAGTTCTAATATCTGGTGTCTTGATGCTTTTGTATTATTGTAGTTCTGCTGGTTCTCAGCTGAGAATAATAAGATGCAAATAAAGACTTACTACCTTAACCTTGTACTGCGAATAATATTACTATATTGTAAGGTTTATCCTAAGTTTTTAACAGTTATCTTTATGTTAAAGCTACTTGTCTGTCTCTCCTAATTTCAGCTTATAATTTCCTACCAGAATGTGTTTTTAGAATCGCGTTTAATGGAAATGAGTAAGAGTGGTATTCAAGTCGAAGTTCCACTGACTTCGTTAGAGAGCGAGAGTTTCTGACTTATGCGCGTTCGCCTTTTGGCTACACTATCTCTACGCTCGGATGTATTTCAGGCCCTTGATAGCTTCGACAGCTTATTTGATATTTAGGGGCCAACTACTTAGAAATCTCGATAGCTTCGGCTATATCTTTTTATCCGAATACAGAATGTTATGTCGAGTTTATGGCGTTGTACTATTTATAGTACACCATAAAACATTCAATAGAGTTTGTAAAAACGTTAAAAGTATTTCTCCTAGAAATTTACTCATGTTCTCTTTTGATGTAAAACCATTATTCATCAATGTTCCAGTGAAAGGTTAGTTAAGTTTTGCTTCTTATTACTTTGAGTTCAAGTCCAAGTGGAGGCTTTGTTGTACCCTCCGAGAAGGAGTTGACTGTAAGTTCTTATTTTGAGAAATAAATGATAATTAACCCTTCCTGAATTTTACGTTTCTGTTTCTGAACTAAAGCGATTGATTATTCACTTACTTGTTCACGAGGTTCCTACATATTTAGCTGTTAGACAAAAGGTTGAAACTCCCCAACATTAACACCAAATCCTTTAATTTTCAACTTTGGTAGTCAAACTGATTTTCGTTTAAAACAAAACATTGGATTCCTAAAAGAAACCCAATATAAAAACTGTTGACAAAAAACATAATATAAAATAAGATAATATGCAAAGTAAACATTTATAATATTAAAATGTTTGTGAGTTACTTTTAAATTAACTACTTACATTTTATGTTGGTACACTTCTATGAAAATGATTTAAGGATTTATATTTTAAGTTTAGTATTGGAAGATATTACGTATTTATCTATCTTGTGTAATGTTTGTGTTCTCAGGGAATGAAGTTGTAGGGTTTATATTTATTTTAACTAACATTTATTTTAAGCTATCTTTCCTGTCAAGCCTTACTTTTCCCTGGAATTGCCAATGCCAGAATATGTAAATTTTAGTAGAACGCGCAAAGGATTCAAATTATCAGCGGAAGTATTCTGAGTTAAATAGAAGGAAACGAGTTCGAAGTGTGCTTTCTTGACTTCACGAGCGTGGAGGTAGCTAGGTAGAAATTGAAGAACCGCGCGTTTCGGCCTGTGTGTGCTTGCCTCGGCAGTAGTTGAATCTTTCAACGTTAATATTCAGAAAGTTTGCTGAAATATCAGCGGTATCTTAGAACGCGGTGAGGTTAGTTACGTTTAGAGAGCCTCGTAGTAGTAGTCACTTGTTATTATTCTTTTTAGGTCTTTCTTATTTTATTTTACCGCCGGGTCGGCGTAGTAGTTTGTGAGCGTCAAGAGCACGCATCTGTAACTTTTAAAGTTGAATAAAAAGGGACTTAAACCCTTCTCAAGACTTTGTGTACTTTCCAGTTTCATAGCAGTCACACTAT